GTTTAGCCCTGTAAACACTGTGAATTAAAACTGCTATGTCATACCTATATTTAGATATCTGCTTAAATTGCAGTCTCTCTCCCTCTCTTCTAATGGTGTATATAGTGATGCTGTGTTTGAAATTTCTGTCTACAGACATTGGGCCTGCTCTAATGGGAACTGAAAGAGGATTTGGTCACACAAGTTCAGTTGTTAGCTCTAGAGATGGTGGGGCATATCCTGTAGAGTGAAAAATGTGGCTTCTTCAAATATGAAAAAATGTTAGGAAACATTTCCATTTGAAAATGTTAGCTTCAATAATAAGTAATTAAAATGAACAGTTTTATTTGTAAACAAAACACTTCATTTTGAAATGTCTACTTGAAATGAAAAATTTCATTTTGGCATCTTGAACCGTTTGTGAAGAAAATATTGAATATTATCCAAGTTGAAACATCCATTTTGCAAGGTTTTTGACACCCTGAGTTTTCTGTTGCTGTTCCAAATAGAAGCTAAGTTAGGTCTGTCAGAATTTCAGCAGAACAAAACTCCTGTCTTCCAAACAGCTTGACTACTTGTGCTGATGAGCTGAGTTTCTTGATTATTTTTACAAGTATGTATGCAAGTATGCACTGATGATTTTGGAGAAGATCTGCAATTCTTTGAACCCAATGCCTTGCTTAAAATGGGTAGAGGAGAACCCAGTGGGTGTTCATTTGATCTGATCTTTTTTTTTGCATTAGAATAAATTGTTGGCTGTATGATCAGTGGAATCTTCTATCTGTTCCATTTACTGTTGCCAAAAAGGGAGTACTGCCCTCTTCCGTGGTGCCCCTAAACTTATTGCAAGTCCTTGCTTGTAATGACTAATTCTTTAACCAAAGGTAGGCAAAACTTGCAAAGCAATAAACGTACAAAACGAGATGTTCCATCACTTTACCAGCAGGTGGCATTACCAGAGCAGTCAAAGATGGTTTTTACCATTACCAATGAAACTAATTGAGCAGTTTTCAATGAATAATTAATTCAGTGAATGTATGCCCTATTTTTGTTCCTGTTGTCTGCCAACATACAAATGGGTTTTACAAAGCTAATTGTTTGAAATTTTGACAAACATTGTATACAAACACTTTCTAACTTCTTCACGTGCAGAGCACCCCCCTTGTGGGCCAGTTCCCTTGCATCTATTATCCACTTTTCACTCGATGTCAGCAGGTATTGAAGTCACTGAGTGTTGTTTCCTATCCCTCATTGGCTGATTGTAACATTCCTACATGGGAAGAGAAACTTGGATAAATTACTATAAATGTGAATATTTGAACAAGCATGAACACTTATCTATAATCATGGTTTTGACATTCATTCTAAAATCACTCTTGTAAAACAAAAAAAACCCTCCTCCAATTTCTAAAAGCAATGGATATGTGGGGCCATAAAAGATGGGGTCAAAAGCAAATTCATGTTCTTATTCAAATGAATGTCCAGATACCATTTATATTATTAACCTGTCTCTAATTGTAGCATGTTCTTGCCACTGATTCTTCTAGTGCAAACTGACTTCCTTGTTATATACCAAGTGCCCCATAAGTCCATGTCCATCTGATCATCAGCCTCTGAAATCTTCAGGTGAGCTGTGAGGTTTGTAGGAGTTTATAGTTGGAGGCATTTAGTTTGCAGATTCATTTATAAGCGGTGCCATGGATGCCATCTGGATACTGAAGCCAATGAAATATAGGGAAGAGCATGTAAATCACATGAAGAATAAAAACGCCAAACTTTGAGGTCTCTTGTTTCAAAGCATATAGTAGATTAAGAAGGATGGTGCAAGTGGTTGGACCAGTAATATATTTGTTTGCAATGAGTGGAATGATGGTTAAATGCTACATTTTATGACAGATTGTAAGAGCCATCCACAAAAACGGAGCATTCCCAGATGTAACCACCATGGTTTCACAGGCCCTATAAAGCTGTAGTAGGCAGACTCTGCTTAAGGGATAACCACCACTGAAAAGGGAAGTTTGTGGGTGATTTCTGGCTCCACTGCAATCAATGGCAAAACTCCCATTGGCCTCAAGAGAGCAGGGATTTCTTCCCATACATCTACCTGCACAAAACAGCAAGGGAAACATGTATGTGGGGAAAATCAGCACTAGAATATGTGGGTACGCAGCAAGAAAATGTTTGGCAGGTTGGCCTATTTCCTAGTAGTAAATGAAGCCAGGTGTCAGTTGCAGCTCTACTCTCCTTATTTTGCTGACAAATGTGTGTTCAGAAAAGGTTTTGAATTGAAAAAGAGCTTGCATAAAATGCTGATAATCTGAATTGTAGGGGCTTTAAAGAAACATGCAGTTTTAAGTAGCGGAAGTCCTTGCATTTCAAACTAAAGAAGCAATTAAGGAACATGAATCCTCAAAATCTGTTTCTGGAAGCCAGAATAAAGGAACTAATGTTTCCTATATTACAGAATTAAGGAATTGCTTGCTGGAGACCCATACAAGATGACCATGGGGAAGAATATTTGCATAGAGACATTAATTCCCTCAATCAGTATTGGAGTCATGTCTGTTAGGTATGTGTGTATGGGGCTGGTGGGTGAGAGAGGTTTAAGAGATTACCAACACCTGTTCAGAATATGGCATTGCAGGGAAATTAGATAGAATTCCCAGATTGTACCAGTTTTCCAAGTAGCCACTTAATAAAGGCATAAGCTTCAGCTGCGATGTTTGCACATATGAGTTCTTGTCTTTGCTAACTAATTATGATTCTACCTGTGTTGTACTTGGCAAGCAATCAGAATTTATTCAAGGGGACTCTTGCCAGCTGTGCTTGTAAAAATGCTTTTCATTAAGGTTTCATCTTAAATACTTGATTAATATTTATTATTTACTGGATGTAGCTGTTGACGGAGTTTACTTGCCCAGGAGAGCTTGGAAGAAAAGCTGCAATTGTTTTTTCAGGAGGGGAGTGGGGAGGGAAAATAGCTGACTACTGATTATGCTTATACTGCAGTTGCTCAGGGCGGGTTAACTAGGCCTGATGTATATTAAGAGGGGAGGCAATCAAGCTGGTCTATAATGACTAGGTGCTGCTTCAAATTAGAACCATGCACAGGCAACTGAGGGTCTGATCTAACAAAGCATCAGTGCATGTGCTTAAGTCTAATGACGTGAGCAGTCCCATGTTCTTGCTAGGTCCTGCACAGCAGAGGCATTGCAAACTCATTCAATGCCCTAGGCAGCCCAGGGGAGGGGTGTGAAACTAGGGTCATATACTGACTGCTGGAGAGTAGGGACTGGGGAAAGGCAGAGTCTGATCCACCGTGGCCCTTCTGGCTGCTACTGGTGCAGCTGATGCTACAGCAGTGCATACTCAGGCTGTTGTAGTTAGGGGATGAGCACAACATGGCCACCAATCTGGCATCAGTTGAAACTGATGCCCAATTCTGGTGCTCTGCAAGCCCACCGCTAGTATGCTGCTTCTGGAAGGTACTGGCAACCTGGTAAGATTATACAGTAATATAGTGCCTGTGATGGCCTGTTCCATTCAGTGTTTGCTAAGAGAAATAACATAAAATATAGCTGCAATGAGGGGCAAGACACTTTATTTCAATGAAATTATAATTTTAGGTCACAAATCAAAGCTGACTTGCTGTATTTCCCTTAATCTTAGTCCACACGGTGTTGTGACACTTATTCTAGTGGACAGTCCTATTGACTTTGATGGACCTAGTAATGTGAAGAAGGACGACATGTGATATACAAATCTGTCATACAGCTCAGCATGACTGTGAATCTCTCCTGAAGAGAGAGGCTGTGATCTAGCTAGTGGGGGGGCTGTAGCTGGTCAGCTTTGAGGTTTCTGGAGGGAGACGTTAGTTAACATGTAGTGACCTATATTGTGCAACTAGCCACGCAATGTTATAAATAAAATCATTCTCAAAATGTTTCCCTGTGACAAAAATGTCCAGAGTGTCCTTAGACCTTTAGCCTTACCTCAGTCAAGAGATGTCTCCTATGAACCCAATGAAAAAGATGAGGCTGACTTAGTCATATGAGCTCCCAAGTCTATTGGATATAAGTATGGAGGATGTTCTCTGAATCAGTGAAGATGCGCATAGGACTAGTTAAGATCTGACACATGACCATAATCAGAAATTCAGAGGAAGGATTTATTTGCATTGTATTGCATTTCCCATAAAGCCAGGTTTAAAATGATTATGAACATTTCTTGTGCTTCCACCAATGATTATACCAATCATGGTATTCATACATTATCAGTTTCTAACACAGTATACTCTAGGGGCCAGATGCCATTCTGATGCACTGCACCATACCAATGACTTGACTGGTTTGCCCAGCTGCAGTAGAAAGCAGGATGTGGTTCTTCTTTCTTTAATATTGTCACATAAAGTAGTTAACTTAGGAAGTAAATTCCTCTCACCTTCCTAGGAAGTAGTGGATAAAGCAAGCAGAAGTTAGATTTTAAGAATATAGACTGAAATTATCAAAGGAGTAAGAGAGAAAAGACGGATTCCCATGGAAGAACTGTGGGAGTTAGGCCATATTGCAGTCTATAAATCATTAAACATATATACTATATGTAATTTAGTACCCAGAAAAAATCAGATTTAGGATTAATCTAAATCAGACTAAAAAATGAATGGTCTCTCTTGGGTCTAAGTAAGGTGGACAATAGTAGTTCTCGCAGGCTTACTCGGTCCAATTCAGTTAACAGTAATGACATCTGTTTCAGTTTTGTTTTTGTTACTGAAAAAGAATTCAATTAAGTTAGTTAATTGAATGTATTCACTTTGCTGATGAAAATTAAAATTATCGGTCAAATTCAGCTTCCACTTATGCCAATGCAGTGTACCGACTTCTGGAAGTTGTACTGTTGTAACTAAGAGCAGGTTTTGAGCTGGAGGTAAGCCTCACAGTCCATATACATCCTCAAGCCTTGACCAAGTCTTTTCTCCCTGGATTGCACACAGACTGTGGCGTGAGCTGTTAATTTCTGTCTTCCACCCCAGAGATGACTGGACATACATGGAGTGGAATGAATACACTTCAGATCCTTTGGGAGAAAGTGTACGGGGTATATCTAAGAGGGTCTTGCTTTACAAAATGGTATATTTTGTAAAGCCAAAATATTTGCAACTACAAAATGAATGGCTTCTCTTGTAAGAAAAATACAAATCCATGCTTTTCTTTTAAAGGAAGAAACCACATACCATATAATTATCTCTGCCATATTCTCCACCCCCTCCTTCTAATGATAGGCAAAGAGCACTGTTATGAATTCTTAATGTTACTTCATTCCTCGTACACATAAAACCTCTTCACCAAGTTGATAGCCCTCTTTATTATGGAAATGCATGGAGAGCCAGAGCCATAATGCCAGGTACGATCACTGACCAAGCAGCATGTAAACCTGGGAAAAGGAAACAGTTTATTATCAGAAGACTCCTAAAAGATTGTATGTCCTGTTGAAAAACAAACATGTATCCAGATTTAACAGAATAATCTCAGATAATGCCCACATCATGCCTATTCTCCCTAACAATTATTTCTGACCTTCCAATATATGTTTCATGAATTAATGATTGCATTTTTAAAGGTAAACATGCTGTAAAATGATGTGGCTCTGTTTCTGATTTTACTTGGTTTTGATGATGTAAATCAGGAGTAATTTCACAGCAGGCAGGTCAACCTAGAAGCTCTCTAAACAATGACAAAATCGCTTCATTTCTGCTTTTAGAATTCCTTTTGTTTTCTGTGTGCATTGAGTTTTTACTGGATGTTTGGGTCAGTTCTGGACCATCATATTTTCTTCTCCAATTATGAGGTACAGAAAGGTACTTACCAAAGCTGAGAGAGAAACTGCTGTCTGCGAGAAACTCAAAACCTGCAGGAGTGGAAGAAAAAATTACCAATTGGTAGATAATTAGTCAATATTCCATAAGAAGCAATCCATGGCACTCTTTTTGACATGTAAAAATCCCCAGTCCACTTCATATTAACTCTTCTGAGTAGCTATGTGATGTTACATTGCTATCTGTGAATATTCATTTGTTTCTACCACTGCATCTGACTAACTGCATCATCCTCATCATGAATGACTTGTGCCCTTGGCAGCTGGGGGGGCACAGCGGTGGTGGGAGCGCACCAGCAGGAGCGGTGGGAGCCTGGCGGCGGTAAGCAGGGGAGCTCCTGCAGTTGCCGCTGGTGCTGTCGGCAGCAGGGGGGTGCTGCCAGCAGTGGTGGTGGCCAGCAGGGATTACAGACCACCTGTGGACACCACCAACACCAAGTGGCAAGCAGCAGCTGCCCACAGGTGCCGCCGACAGTGTCAGCAGCACCTTTTTGTAGGGGGTGCACTGCCACGCTCAGAGGGTGCACATGCACCCCCACGCATTGCCCCTGATCCTAATACCCAATTCAGAAGTGGATGGACCAGTGGAGCAATCTGTCTGTATTCAAATATACTTGCTTGGTAACTTGCTCTATGCTCTTCTATCCATACAATTCCATGGAGACATCTTTTTAACTACTCTTTTAAAACCTAATATTGATTTAGTTTGCTCTAATGAATTTAAAGGAGCAAAATGGGCTTCTGTAAGCCCAGCTTGAATTGATTTTAGAAATATCCATGCACCAAATTGCATCAACAGCTAAATTTACTTAAAATCATACTTGTTGGCTTAAACTGGTGCACCTTCCTGTGTTTCCACTAAGCAAAGAAATATGGAGCTTTGAGCTGGTTAAAACTGCACAATTGTCATGTTGCTGATATCTCTTACCTTGGCGGGCAATGGGTCCCACTTCCAAAGCGTAGCTCTCTTCTTGTTGCTGCCCAACATGACTTCTTCTGGAGCAGGACTGCAAAGAGCAAATCCAGTTAGAGACTCTTCAGTGGTGTTTACAATGCAGCATTTATTAATAATGGAAAAATGTCCTTGCCTCAATGAACTACAATTTCTGATCGTCATAAATGCACTTACAGGTTTGCATGCTTCAGTGCTGAAATCGCAGAGATGTATTTGGCAGTGTAGGTAAACAAGGTTATGGTTCCCAACAAACTTAAACATCTGAAGGGAAAACTGTCCTTGAGTTGAGACACCATTTTCTTCTACTGATATAGCAGAGTCCTGTCTGTTTGCACACCTGAAAGAAAAAGCTGTTACAACCATGCTATAATGATAACTTGAATTTCAGATGATTTAGCATTCAATGTTTGTTATGCATTTCAGATGCTACAGTATAAATAGCTCATAAAGAGAGTTGTATATTAAATTTACCAAGTGTTGGCAGGTTAAAAAAAAATAGGTTAATTTAAAGTAAGTGGGTAACTTAAATTGTGCGAAGGTAAACATTTAGGAACTGATTTCCTTTCTTAGGGAAGTTACCAGCTCTCAAAGCCAGTCACCTACTAACTAGGTAATTTGATAAGTATAATGTACTGCCGCCAGAGGGTGTTACACAAAAAGGAGAAGATTGACTGTTGGGAAAGAGAACTACATCAAAATGCTTCGGGCCAAGCAGGTCCTGTTTCATCTCATCTCTGTGATCTGCCCTGCCTGCCATAACATAACAGGTTTGCTGGGCTGTGACTCCTCCTTGGGCCAAGCCAATGACAGAAATATATGAAGGTTTGAGTGGTTCCTATAGCAAAGCTGGACCAGCAACCAGGAGGAAACTGGTAAACCGTCAGGAGTGCTTGGTGCATATGAGTAGCAGAGGAAAGGGCAATAACAGCATTTTAAAATTGCCTTTCTGTGAGACTTCATTTTCTAACCGCCGTGGACACTTTTGAAAACAGAACTTTCTCCTGAGTAGAAATTCTCTTATTCATTTTGTGGGGACAATCTGTGATTTTGAAATTCTTTCCACAAAAACAGTTGTCTCCTTGTCCCCCTGATGATACAATAATAATCGCCAGAGAAGTGCCTCGGGCAAAATTTGTCCTAGTCAGGCCACAGATTTAATGACTTTCTTCTCTCTTAGGAAGAGAGGACTGGAAAGGGCCTCCTGCCCCATCAAGTCCAGTCCATTACACACAGTCAGTTGACATGCTGATAGAAAGAGGCAAGATTCTTTGCATATCAGCCTTACCCATCTTGAATGATGAAATACTTGGTCAGATCAGTAGCGTTTTTTGTAGGGGTAGCATAACAACTCTCCATCAGCAAGACAAACTGGGATGTGTCTCCATCATCAAACATTATGCCTACATATAGCATGTCATCTGTTGATAACACAACCTTTGAGCCTTCAAAAGGCGAAGTGTAATTTTGATCCCTGTACAGAGCCATTCGCACTGTGAACATTCCAGTGCCGCCAGTGCTGATATTGATGGAACTAAAACAACAAAAGAATTGTTTTTTAAACCAAAAAGCAACTTGTGGGGAGAGAAAATATAATATGAGCATAAGGGATATATTAGGTAATTAGTGACAGTGCCAGACAGCAGCCAGCTACCCCAGCAAGGAAAAATAATTTGTTGCTGTTCAAAAATATTACTACTGTAAGAGACAAGTTTAAACTTACTTCATTAGCACTAACTTTTGGATTTTCACTATGCACACTGTATCCTTACTACTCACTCCATTTCAAAACTGAGATCCACTAGTCCAGGAGCTACTGGTGACTGTTTTAACCCTTGGCACAAGGTAGAGCAGCCATAGGGTTCGGCTGGAATGGCTCCATTTGGGCTATTCTCCTGGCCCAGGACTAGCTCATAGCTAGGGGCATAGCTCATTCCAGCAACACTTAGTCCCAGTGGTGATGTATCACTATATCCATGTGGAGTGGAACAGCTGCTGTTGTACTAGGTTGGCCAGTTCTACAGCAACAGGTGATTATCCCCCCACCCCTGCCCCTTCCCCCACAAGCCAGAAATACTTAAACAGTACTTTGAAGCATCTTTTTACTGTCCTTGTACTACCAGAACATTGCACAAGATAGAGAGTATGAGCATGGCTTCAGTGCCTCTCCTTGACACAACATCCACCATGGTAGCTCAAACATAAATGGGAATATCATTTGTCTAGATGAGTATCTCCTCATTAATATACAATCCCATACCTTATAACAGGCTCAATGGCTGTTTTAAGACTGAGTTTCATATCCAGTGGGTAGGAGCAGTAAAAATTAATATTTATTTCATTGTCTCTAACAATAATCCCATCTGCCAGATAAAGAGTGTTGCTGTAGGTGGCATGTGTTGCATTTTTCTATGGGAAAAAATTAAGCCATTATAGCTTCTGCAGTTTGTAGATTAATATGCTACAGTATCTGACTTCATCATTCTCCAAGCTTTCATCTTGTTACAAGTATAGGGGGAAGAGGAACAAGCAAACAAATTCTTCTCAGTGGGCACATCTACACGTGCACATTTACTGTGCAGTAACTAAAAATACTGAGCGGTTCAGGCACATGTCTACATGTGCATACTAGGGCTATGCAAAGCTTCAGTCCCTGATTCGATTTGGTGGAGATTCCACCTAATTTGGTGGCCAAATCACTGAATCTGAATCGAATCAGGAGACCCTTTAGTCGGATTCAGAGAGATTCAGAAAGATTTGGAGATTTGGACATAGACACAGCTTTAAATGTTTTTCCTACATACCTCAAGGTATCAGGCGGCTCGTGAATGCTGCGATGGTGGGGTAGATGGAGTGTCCAACAGGTGTGCGGTGGGCTCCCCAGCATGCTCAGCAGCAGACCTGGAAGTGGACTAGAAGCACTTCGGGTCCACTTCTGGGTCCACCAGGGAGCATGCCACGGGGGGCCCCCACACTCCCTCGGCTCAGTGACTGGTGCCTCCTGGGTCTGGGGGGGCACCTGGGGTCCCCCTGTGGCTGATCACCAAGCCAGGGAGACACCGGGGGCCCCCCCAGCACACTCTCTTGCGGACACAGAAGTGGTCTGGAAGTACATCCAGTCCACTTCCAGATTCAGCACAAAGCACGTGGGGGGGCCCCCCTTGCCCTCCTGTTGAACGGTCCATCCACCCCAACATTGCAACATTCATGAGCCACACCTGGTACCTCAAGGTACATAGAAAAAACATTTAAAGTGGTGTCTATGGCCAAATTGCTGATTCTCTGAATCAGCATCAAATCTTCAGATTTGGATTTGGCCAAATCAAATCAGGGACAGTGATCTGAATCAATAAATTGAATCACAGTCCCCAATTTGGGCTGAATCTGAATCG